GTTGGGAGCCACGAGACTCACTCATTTCTCCTTGGGAATCCTTGAATTCCTGTTGTTGAGCCTCGATCTTCACTGAGGGCCAGTCATCAACTGTTTAAGTGTTCAATTATCAATAAGCCGAAGTCTGTGGAAGGCCATACTGGCCCTGCTTTAAGTGGTTCGCTGCTCCCGCAGCTCACCACGCTGTCTCTGCCTCAGCTGCCATCTTGGATCAGTGTTAGTTCAGTCTTTTTTTGAGAGTTACAATGGACTAGATAAGACATTGTGCATGTTTTACCCTTAAAATGATAGTAAAATACAATAAGTTTTCTTTTACGTGAACTAATGAGCTGGTCTTTTACTTGCTACCAGTCTTCTTGTTGATGTTAGGTAATGTCGAAATGAGTATGACTCATAACAACCCTATGAACAGCAGATCTTAACCCTGTATCATCTGCATCCTCTCTGACATACTTGAGCTCACTGCTGCAGTCACTGTATCAATATATCTCATTGAGGGTCTTCCTCTCTGTCACTGACCCTCTACCTTTCCAAGCATGATGTCCCTTTTCAAGGAATAGCCTCTCCTAGCAACATGGCCAAAGTATATGGGATGAAGCTTCACAGTCCTTGCCTCCAAGGATCAAGCACTTTGGCTTATTTTCTCCAGGTCATGTTTATTTGTTCTTTTGGCAGTCCATGGGATATTTAGTGCTCTTCTCCAACACTATGGCACAAAATCATCAATTCTTCTATAATCCCTATTCATCAGTTCCCAGAAACATTGCAAGTGATTGAAAAGACCATGGGTTCCCTCTCTCTTTGTCTGTCTGTCTATCTGTCTATTATCTATCTATCTATCTATCTATCTATCATCTATCAACATGTCAGCTTTGGTGGTCTAGTGGTAAGAAGGGTTGATTCTGACCCTATGGTAAACAACAACAATATATAAATGCATATATATTGGTTCTTGTTATGTGCCACTGTGTTGGTACCAACTCTCAGCTTACTCTCCAGAAGGTTTTCAGAGGCTGTAAATTTCACAGAAGGAGTTTCTCTCATTTCTTAAAGATAATGATGAAGAGTTGAGTCTTGGATGTGGTATAATGTAGACAAAACAGGTATTTAGCCATTCCTTTCTTCCTCATTTATCCCAGCTGCTAGAGGGATTGATCTAATCATTACTAGACATTAGAAGTCAGAGGCCTTGCCTTACAACAACTCTTAGCCCAACAATTAGAGAAGAATGTCAGAAGAATCACGGCAGTTTATAGCATATATAATTGAAACACAGAAATTACAGATGTCCTAAAAATGTTCTAAAGTGTTCATGGGGTCAGGGGAACTCATTGGGGAGCTTTCTTATGTCATGTAATTTCTGTCCTTGCAGAGTCAGACACCTCCTTGGTGCTTGAGGCAGTGAATCCATGGGCACCAAGAACAACGTGACCGAGTTTGTTTTATTTGGCCTTTTCCAGAGCAAGGAGATGCAGCATGCCTGCTTCGTAGTATTCTCGCTCTTCCATGTGTTGACGGTGTTCGGGAATCTTCTCGTCATTGTCACCATCAATGCCAGCAAGACCCTGAAAGCTCCCATGTATTTCTTTCTCAGCCACCTATCTTTTGCTGATATGTGCTATCCCTCTGCTACCACACCCAAGATGATTGCAGACACTTTCGTGGAGCGCAAGACCATCTCCTTCAATGGCTGTATGACCCAGCTCTTTTCAGCCCACTTCTTTGGTGGTACTGAGATCTTTCTCCTCACAGCCATGGCTTACGACCGTTACGTGGCCATTTGTAGACCGTTGCACTACACAACCATCATGGATCGAAGGAAGTGTAGTCTACTGGCTGGAGCCTCTTGGGTGGCTGGCTTCTTGCATTCCATCCTGCAGACCCTCCTCACAGTCCAGCTGCCGTTTTGTGGACCCAATGAGATTGACAACTTCTTCTGTGACGTTCATCCCCTACTGAAGCTTGCCTGTGCAGACACTTACATGGTGGGGCTCATTGTGGTGGCCAACAGTGGCATGATCTCCTTGGTCTCTTTCCTCATTCTCATCATCTCCTACGTGGTTATTTTACTGAACCTGAAAAGCCGGTCATCTGAGGGCCGACGTAAGGCTCTGTCCACTTGTGGTTCCCATATCATCACTGTTCTTTTGGTTCTTGTGCCCCCTATGTTCATGTACATTCGTCCCTCCACTACCTTGGCTGCTGACAAACTTGTCATTCTCTTCAACATCGTGATGTCACCTTTATTGAACCCTTTGATCTATACATTGAGAAACAATGAGGTGAAAAATGCCATGAGGAAGTTGTTTAGGGTCAAGGAGCACTCAGAGAAAAAGTGACATTACAAAGGATCTCCATCTACTCAGGAACTTGTGAAACTTCAGTTTTGTAACATCTATCTTCAGTTTGATGCATGTAATGAAAACTTTCCTCTTAGTATTTTTATTGTAGTACTAACCCCACCTATTCATTCAGTCCACTATTCATCAAATATTTACTGAGCATTAACAATAAATGAGGCCCTGAGTATATAAGAAAAAGTAAGATGTAATCCTGGTTCTCTGCGAGGTTATAGCCCAAGAGGCAGTTAGTGTGATATTGAGAGGCCTTCACACTTTTTATCATTCAACAAAACTTGTGAGTCTTTAGCGAATTCAGATATCTCATCTATTTAATGGATAATACCACTTGATTAAATGTGATCATGCCTTATGAATTCTAAAACAATGTTTGACAAAACACACTCCTTTCTCTATTTTGATTTCCAAAGTACGTTTATAGCTTCATTTCATGCTGTCACCAGGCAGATGAGTAAATAAAGGAGAGAGAAAAGGACACATCCACAGCCAAACTATAAATGAAAAGCGATTTGTGTTATTGTTATGTGCTGTCAGCTTGACTGTGACTCATAGTGACCCTGTGAATAACAGGTAAAAATCTTGCTCTATCCTGGGCTGTACTTACACTCTCCACCAGGCTGAGACCTATTGTAGTCACTGTGTCAGTCTGACTTATTAAGGGTCTTCCTCTCTTCCAGTGACCCTCTGCTTTTCCAAGCATGATGTTTTTCTCCAAGGACTCTTTCCTCCTGACAACAAGCCCAAAATATGTGAGATGAAATGTCACCATTCTTGCTTCTAAGGAATACCCTGGTTGTGTTTCTGCCAATGGTATTTGTTCTTTGAGTACTCAGTGGTATGTTCAAGACTTCACCAACACCATGATTCAAAGACATCAGTTCTTCTTTGGTCTTCCTTATTCATTACCTAATTTTTCCTATGCATATGAAGTAACCACCATGGCTTAGATCTGGTACATTCTAGTTTTTAAATGGGAACTCAGGTTTTAAAAGTTTTCTTTCATTGCTTTTCCCACCTCAGGACTTCAGAGCTAAGAATGAGTGAATGGAAATGAAGCAGGACTGAGCAGACTCTTTTGAAGCTCTAAGGATTTCAGGCCACTGTAGAAAGAACACCACACTAGAGAGCAAAAGTCCTTGTGATTGATTTTATGTAAGTAATTTAATGAGGCTAAATCTTTGATCAGGTGCTTCTCGGAGCTTAGGGTGATGAAGCTTCATCTCACATATTTTGGTCGTCATGTTGTTAGAAGGGGCTTGTCTAGGGGGAGCACATTATGCTTGGGAAGGTCAGCAAAACAGAGAAGGTCCTCAGGAGTTGGATTGGCATAGTGACTGCAACAATAGGCTCAAATATATCAGAGAGGAGGATGGCAGAGTATAGGTCAGGGTTCAGATACATTGTTCACAAGGTCACTGTGAGTTGTACTCAACTTGAGAATATCTAATAGTAACAACAGCAAATCTTTGGTGTGGGGAAAAATGGTCAAAATTGCCCACTACAAATTAGTAAGGAAGAAGAAGTAAATTCATTCATACTTTGCTTCTTACTGAGTATTCTCATTCATGACAGGAATTGTAAGTCAGAAAAAATATTTGATATTTTCAAATCTGTGAGAATGGAATAGAGATATATACTAGACATAACTGGAATCTGAATTTTGAGTGCAGTGAAAAATGTGACATTGTTTTTAATAAGTAAATAACAACAAGCACAAGTAAGACTATGTTTATTTATCTAATAATCTAGAACTGCATAAAATATATATTGTTGACGTTGTGTGCCATAGAGTCAGGACTAACCCATAGCTCCATAGACTCCAGTGGGTCTTCAGAGATTAATCACACAGGAGGCGATTGCCCACCCTTCTCCTGCAGAGCAGCTGGTGACCTGGAACTGTGTGCCTTTGGGATTGCAGCACAGCTTCTTGCCACTAGGACACCAGAACTCCCTGTAGTATATGTAACAAAACAATTATTTGTTATCTATGAATTTATTATCCAATCTAAGAGGTAAAACTCTGTCAATAATTTATGTTTTCTTGATTCTTGTGCTACTTCTTAATTTCATTTTTCTGTTTCCCACAAGTGATACAAATATTCTGAAATTTAGTTTACAATTCTCTTCCCTAAAATAGTTTTAAAACATGTATCTGAACCCTGTCCTATCCTATACCATCCTCACCATCTTTTAAATACTTGAGCCCATGTACTGAGGTGGTGAAAATAGTTTCTGTTGTGGGCTACTAATAAGGAGGTTGGAGATTTTAATCCATCCAAAGGGGCCCTGGGGAAAAAAAAAGACTTGCTGGCCTATCTCAGAAAATGTATTACTTTTGTTTAAAGAAGGAAATCTTTCAAATTCTTTGCTGTTGAGTTGGAAATGACTCATAACAGACCCTTTAGTGGGTTTTGTAAGTTGTAAATTGTCTATATTTTGCATATGTTACTGCGGGTGGAGTCATACTGTCAGAGATGCTTCACCTTTGGGCTAAAAGCACAATTTACAAAGCTTTATGTGCAGCCAAGTCAATTCTGATATTTGGACACCTGAACAGAACACTGCCTGGTTCTGTGACATCTTTACAATTGTTATTTAGTGTAGCCCTTTGTTTCAGACACTGTGTCACTTTAACATGCTGAGGGTGTTCTTTCACATTGACCCCCCGCTTTATTAAACATGATATCATTCTTCAGGGACTGGCCTCCTTGTAACACGCCCAAAGTGTGTGGGAAGTCGCACCATGCTTTCTTCTAAGGAACATTCACGCTTCACTGTGTCCAAGACATTATTTTTTTTTTTTGGCAGTTCATGTATATCCAATATTCTTTATCAGAAGCACAACCCAAAAGAAAGAATAATTTATTCTCTAGTTTTCTTCATTCATTGCCCAATTTTCATATGTACATGAAGTGATTTAAAACACTAAGATCTGAGTCTGATGAACCTTGGCCCTCAAGATGAGATCTTTGTTTTTAAACACTTAACATTTTTTTAAAATTGATTTGCATACAATAATTCATTAACACTGTGTTTCATTCATGTACATTGTGCTTTACACAATCTTTCAGGTCACTGTGTTTCATCCATTTACATACATTTTTCATATAATTAATTACTGTTTAACTATGTCTATTATTACTCTGCCTTTTTGAGTCCATGCTGGCACTTTTAAAGAGACACTTTGCAAATGCAAAGCATCATTTATTTTCTATCTGCTGGTTCCATGGCCATTAATTATGGATAAACATAAAATAGAATCCTTGACATCTTCAATATTTCCTCCATTTATTGTGATGTTGTTTATTGGTCCAATTGGAGTATTTTTTTTTGTTTTTGTGTTGAGGTATAATTCATTACAGTCTTTGAGATTTATCACCAAAAGTCTTCTTGATGTATTGGCAAAACTAGACATCTAGGTGCAGAAAATGCTAACAATATCCATAATATACACCCCCCAAAACGAACTCAAGATGGATCAAGGATTTGGTATAAAACTTAAGACTGAAAAGATCATCAAAGAAAAAGCTGGACAAAATCTAGACGCCCTCACCTATGGCATATATAGTTTATCAAGAATAATAGAATGTGTGAAACCAGCAGAGAATAAACCAGAAGATTGGAAGTACCTAAAAACGAAATTCTTATGTGCATAAAAAATTTCTCCAATAGACTGAAATAGAGAAGCTAAATATTGGGAAAATAATTTGGCTATGATATATCTGAAAAAGACTAATTTCATAGAAAACTCCAACAACTCAACAAGAAAAAGGCAAACAACCCAATTTAAAAATGGGCAGCAGGCATTTTACCAAAGAAGACCTTCAATTTGTCAACAAACACATGAAGAAATGCTCTAGATTAGTAGTAACAGAGAGATACAAGTAAAAACAACAACGAGGTATCATGCAACCCAGGAAACAAAAGAAAGTTCATTAAGATTACAAACAACTACAAATGCTGGCAATGGTGTGGAGAGATCAGAACTTTCAATTACTGCTTGTAATAATGAAAAATGGTGTAATCATTATGCAAAGTAGTTTGGGGTGGCCTTAGAAAGTTAGGAATAGAAACACCATTTGATCTAGCAATCCAAGGTATATATAGCAATACTTTGCACATATTCCAAAGAAATAATAGCAATGACATGAAAAGATATATGTCCACCATGTAATTGAACTACAAAGCATTCAAGCAGTGGAGTACTATACAACACTGAAAAATAAGGACTTCACAAAACACTGCATAACATGGATGACCTAGAGGACATCATTGTAAATTATTTAACTGAGTCACAAAAAAATGAATATTGTACACCTATTGTAAAACGCTGAGGGAAAAAGGAGGTTTATACACAGATGAAATAGTTCTGGGGATGGGAAGAGAGAGAGAGGAGTGTAAAATGAATAAAGAGATAATGCTGCACTAAGCTGGTCATTGCTCATTAGTCAGAACAGACTCAGCTGATTCTTCAGCAGGTGTTCAGGGGCTGTAAACTGCATGGGAAGAGAGTGCCCGTCTTTTTCCTTTGGAAAAGCAGCAAGGGGGTTTGGACTGGCAGAGAAGTACCTTCTGTAGATTGGCAGTGCAATGTCCTACGGACTAGGTCACTAGAAGCACATACTGTGACTGGTGAGAGGAAAGAATACATCAAAAGAGTGCAGGCAGCATGAGGGCGGCTGTGTCTGCCCCCTACTAACTCCACAGCAAAACAATCACCATAGACAACATCCACAGTATAAAACTAATTCCCGTGGGGCCAGACATTCTCCATGCTGTTTTATCATACTGTTGTTGTTGTTGTTATGTGCCATCGAGTCACTTGTGACTCATAGCGACAAGAGCCCTAAATGCTGCTCTATCCTGTGCCAACCTCGCCGTTTCTGACACACTCATCTACTGGTCCAAGTGCTAGTCTAAGTGTGCTCGATTGCACATAGGGTTTTCAAAGGCCTGTCATTTTGGAAGTGGATGGCCAA